TGTTTTAAATTCATAGGTTCTTGGATATGATTCAATCCAGTATATTCCGTGAACTGGCTTTGCAGCTTCATCTGAATAGTCTCAATATTTATATATGAGTTATATGTATCTCTTGGATAAAAAATTTAAAAGTAAAGGCCATTATCTATATGTGCTCAAAGGATATAAAAGAATTTTATTCTCAGAAAAACATAATAAGGAAGTCAATATCTATTTTAATCTCAGGCAAGCATACTAAGGAAGTCAGTAGCTGCAAAAGCTCCTCAAATAATTATTCAAAGTCAAATATAAATAATCTTATTGCTCTTTTGGATTATGAATACATCATAGCTTTTTTATTGACATCCAATTCAAAGTTGGCCTATTGTCTGGTGGTATTAAAATGGATCACACGTGTAGCCCTTAATCATGCACATTGACTTGGAACACCTTGCTTAATCCTCATAATTCTATGAGGTAGGTATTACCACCTATGTACAGATGAAGAAACACATCCTGAGAGATGTGAATTTTAATGCAATTTCTATGAATGACATCTTTTTTTCAGAATCCTATGAAACACAATCCGGTAATTTTTAAGACGCTATACCATTCCTTCCTTACACCATATACAAAAATCAACTCAAGATGGATGAAAGACTTGAATGTAAAACTTAAAACTATAAAAACCCTAGAAGAAAACAGGAAAGGCCATGGACATAGGCCTTGGCAAAGACTTTATGATGAAGATGCCAAAAGCAATTGCAGCAAAAACAAAAATTGAAAAATGAGATCCGATAAAACTAAAGAGCTTCTGCACAGTAAAAGAAACTATCAACAGAGTAAACATACAACCTACAGAATGGGGGAAGAACACCTGCAAACTATGCATCTGACAAAGGTCTAATATCCAGCACCTGTAAGGAACTTAAATCAACAAGCAAAAACAAACAACCTCATTAAAAATGGGCAAAAGATGTGAACAGACACTTCTCAAAAGAAGACATGCATGTAGGCAACAAGCATATGAAAAACTGTTCACCATCACTAATCATTAGAGAAAAGAAAATCAAAACCACAGTAAGATACCATCTCACACCAGTCAGAATGGCTATGATGAAAAAGTAAAAAAATAATAATAATAATAAGATGCTGGTGAAGTTCTGGAGAAAAGAGAACACTTTTACACTGCTGGTGGAAATGTAAACCAGTTTGGCCACTGTGGAAAGCAGTTTGGAGATTTTTCAAAGAATTTAAAACAGAGCTATCATTCAACCCAGCAATCCCATTACTGGATATATACCCAAAGCAATATAAATTGTTCTACCATAAAAACACATAGACACGTATGTTCATTGCAGCATTATTCACAATAGCAAAGACATGGAATCAACCTAAATGCCCATCAATGGCGGAATGGATAAAGAAAACGTGGTACATATATACCATGGAATACTATACAGCCATATAAAAAGAATGAGATCATGTCCTCTGCAGCAACACGGATGGAGCTGGAGGCCGGTATCCTAAGTGAACTAACACAGAACAGAAAACCAAATACTGTATGTGCTCCTTATAAGTGGGAGCTAAACATTGAGCATACATGGGCAAAAAGAAGGGAATAATAGGCCCCAGGGCCTACTTGAGGGTGGAGGGTGAGAGGAGAGGGAGGACTGAGAAAATGCCTATCAGGTACTGTGCTTATTACCTGGGTAACAAAATGATCTGTACACCAAACCCCCATGACATGCAATTTACCCACATAACAAACCTGCACATGTACGCTGAACCTGAAATAGAAGTTGGAAGGAAAAAAATACACTGCACAAATGGAAACAATAAAATCTACAATTTGAACATTTATTTGAATAGCTGGACGTGTCATCAGAACAACTCTTGATGCTTATTGAAGCACCCAGAGCTACCTAAAGAGAACATGAGGTTTAAGAACCACTGATGAGGAATCAAAGCCCTACTTTGAAGAGTATAAATATATATTAAGCATTATATACATATATATACACACACACATTTTAAAGAAGTGTAAAATGAACACTTGTATACTTAACACCAAGAAATTGAATATTAACATTGAAGCACCCAGGGCTTCTCCTGTATTGCATTCTTCCCTAGAAGTGATCACCAGCCTGTTTTGAATTATGCCCATGCTTTCGCTATTTTGCCACACCGTATCTTCTATAATATTGTCTTGTTTGCTTTTAGGCCATATGTAAATAGCGTATATATTGACATGCACACACATCCCCTTTGATGACTTAGTATTTTATCTTTAACAGTCTATTTGACATTGGTTCCTGCTGATGCTTGTGACTGTAGATCACACTCACTCCTTCACAATATTACATTGTATGGAAGTATTCATTTTGTCCATTCTGTTGGTGGGCCTTTGAGTTATTTTCAGCCTTTTTTCTCAGGTACAAATAATGCTTCCATGAAGATTCTTGTAATTGGTTTCCTTGGTATATTTGTACCAACATTTCTTTAGGGTGAAAGTATAAATTGCAGAGACTACATACCTTAAAACCTATTAGGTAATAAAAACTTATTTTCTAATTTACACTGCTACTATAATTTCATGAGAGTTCTTGTGGCACCCTGTCCTCACCAATTCTTACCCAACATGTGAATGTTACCGTGTGGTTTTCATCTGTATTTCCCTATTTTCTTCTAAGACTTTAAAAGTTTTGCTTTCATTTAAGTCCTTGACCCATTTAAATTTGACTTTTGTACATGAAATTATATATATACCTGCCCTTTGGAAAATTTCCTTATATTTCTCATATTAAGAATTTTCAAAGATTTTTCTTTCCCCTTATCTCAATCCCCATCCTTTATGAAGAGACTCAATGAATTAAAGAATATGAACCCATACAGAGCTTCAGAGATGTACACTTTCTAAAGAATATGGTGAGTTTTTCTGAACATAGACTAAATACAAATGAAAATAATAACAACTACTATGTTGGGCCTCACAAATTAGCAAAATATATTCTTAACAAGGCTAATTAATCCCAGTGAGAGTGTTGTAAAACAAGCATTGTTATACACACTAACTGTTGATGGTGCATACAATCCAAAAGGTTTATACATACCTTTGGAAAGGTAATTTGAGGCTAACTGCCTTGAAGGCTTTAAGGGTGTCCACCATTTTTTAAAGGAAATTTAACTTAATGAAATCTATAACTTTAAAATCATAAAGTATGAGCTAAGATGTTCATCGCAGTGTCTGTCTGTATATCTTAACCACTTCTGAGCTATTGCCATTTTTGCTATGTGTGTGTATATATATAATTGTCCCCTTCTTTAAAATGTTTTTATCCAAAACTAATTTTTCTATGATTTTGTCCTTCATATATAATAGACACATGTAATGTATAAAAATATAAACATCATTTTGTTATTAAAGTACTCAGATTTTTGGTGCCTGTCAGCAGCAAAGTGGTAGGACACATACTATTTGTCGAGCTGTGCATTAGCTTCTGACAACTGGATGATGGAAGGAATTGTTGCAGCTTGTGTGCACCTCACTTCTGGCCATAGTTTCAGATTAGTGCGCAAAAATGGGATCCTAGAAACTATGGAAAAAGCTTCATTGCATTAAGTGAACATCTTCTGTTTAAAAAAAATAAAAAAATATATACAGGCAAGAATTCAGTAGAACAATTTGTATAAGAACGAGCTGCAGCCCAGTACTCCTATTTGTTGACATCAAATAAAGGTGAGACTATTTGGAATTCTGAAATGAGCTAACCTCACTCTGTAACTTGATATTACTGAAATGGTTATTAGTGAGCTGTAGGGGGCGGTGCAGAAGAAACTAGTGTTTGTTGAGTGCCTTTATGTGCCAGGTACTTCAAAACATTGTTTCACTAATCCTCATAATGACCCTGCTAAGTAGGTACTGTGAGTTCTGCTTTACAGGTGAAGAAAGCTCATGGAGTTAAGCAACATGACCAACCTTAGCACGGTGCCTGAAATACAGTAAGTGCTTAATGAGTATCTTTTGAATAGATGGTAGGCAATATACACCTAACTAATGGAAGAACCAGTATTCATACTTAGATCCGTCTCATTGCATAGCTCACACTATTTCCATCATAGTGTATTGCCTTCTGTGTAAGACTACACAGAATCATTTTTAAATGCCTAAGAAACAGCACTGCCAATGTAAACACAGCTAGTAAGCCCAGCAACCTGTGATTTCTCCCTTTATATCAGAACAATTTCAATTTCAAAATGTATGCATTGTGAAGGATGAGAAAAGACAGAAAACAGGATCTTCAAGGGCTTTACTGTTACTTAACACCGAGAGTACATGAAAATAACATAAATATATATGAAAACATCATATGTGTATGGAACATTTTATTAATACAGCTCATCCATTTTTTGTTGAGTTCTACTGACTTTTTAGAATTTATTTTACTTTTAAGTTCTGGGATACATGTGCAGAACATGCAGGTTTGTTACATAGGTATACATGTGCCATGGTGGTTTGCTGCACCTATCAACCCGTCATTTAGGGCTTAAGTCCCACATGTATTATGTATTTGTCCTAATGCTCTCCCTCCCCTTGCCCCCCACTCACACCCACCACCAACAGGCCCTAGTGTGTGATATTCCCCTGTGTCCATGTGTTCTCAATGTTCAACTCCCATTTATGAGTGAGAACAATGACTTCCGGCTTCATCCATGTCCCTGCAAAGAACATGAACTCATCCTTTTTCATGGCTGCATAGTATTCCATGGTGTGTATGTGACACATTTTCTTTATGCAGTCTATCATTGATGGGTATTTGGGTTAGTTCCAAGTCTCTGCTACTGTAACATCATCTGAAATGTGTTACTTTAATTTTATGAATGTTAGGTATTATGTCTCTTTTCCTTTTTTGCCCCACACATCACTGAAACAAATTATTTGAAAATGCTAAAATAAGTAAAATGTGTGGCATGCTTTCTTAGATGCTTTGTCTCCTGTACCAAAATAATTTACAAATACAAAAGTTGAAAATAATTGTATTAGTTTTTTAATGCATAAATCCAAACATATATTTGTACTGAATATTTTATTAGCTAATAGAGTACCGTTTTAAAAATTCTACCAACTTATTTAAAATATTTCCTGTAAAAACATCATCCAAAATGTACTTTGTTAATTTTTATGAATGTTAAGTGTTACGTCTCTTTTCTTTGACGCTTTCTTTTTTATCCTGTGCTTACACCAAAAACAAATTATTTGAAAATGCTAAAATAAATAAAATGTGGCATGTTTTCTTAGCTGTTTTGCATCCTGTTATAAAATATTTTACAACTGTGAAAGTTGAAAAATAACTTTATTGGTTTTGCTGCATATAACTGCCTGTCTATTGTAAGAGAACTCATCTATACAATTAAGGCATTTTGTTATTTCAAGTACAGAGGGGCAAGAATGTAAGGGAATTATAAAAACCCCAAGATGACTCATTTAAAGTAGATGCACATTAAAATACTATAGATCTGGCATATTTCATATTTATAAAGCAGACAAAAAGAATGTTTATCTTTGCATTTGGCAAGAGTATCTTCAAGATAACTATTTACCACTTTTCAAAGCACTATTGTTGGGTAGGTTTTATTAGGGGAGAGGACTTAGAGAACATGACTTTCCTCATCCAAAACCAAAAACAAATGAGGGCTTAAAATATATTATTTAAGAAGACAGTGGCCGGGAATAAAGACGATGACCAACAAGCTTTGGGGCCATCAAGATGAAAAGATCTTTGCTTTATTCAAGATCTAGGATCTGAAAATCTCACTTGATAAATTTAACTGGATTTTCTTTTCTGATTATGTTTAACTCCAAAATTTGGTTGTATACTGTAGCAATTTCTATTTTACCTGGATGTTAAAAGAAAAACCACTGGAATCTAAAGAGAGATGAATAACCTCTTGAGCTCAGATGGAGAACTAACCAGTGGCAAATATGTATCTAGTGGAGTAAATACATCTCAAGAGAGTCAAACCATTACAAAACAAGGTGTTTTTAAAAATACTTCAACTTGAAATTATTTTAAAAAAAAGCATTAAAAGGTATTAGAGATTTTTCTTAAGTGCTGGTAAAATAAAAACACCTTAAAAGACACACTGTTACAATTTCCTCACAGAGGTAAAGAGGTTGTGACCAGCATCAGCATCGTAAGGATATCATTTCAGAGCTTGATTCTTCTGCCCTAAGTGGTTCAAAGAGCTTGAGCAGGTACACTCTGGTACTAGGGAAAATCTGAAGCAATTCACCTAGTTGGATGAAAAAGGACTTACGTGCCCTTGATTTATTAAAATTCATTGTTCTTTTATATACATTTCACTTTAAAACTCTGAAATGAACGTTTATGCAGTATGACATGAATGATTTCATAATTTATATGACAAGCTTAATAAGGCTGACATTCAATGAACAGAAAAGTAATTTACCTTTTAGTAATCAGAAAAACTTTCAATCCATTTTTATCTTATTTTTAAGTGTCTGTTATTAAAGCTTGTGATTTTTATTAATGTAAACAAGCCAAAGGGTGATTGTTTTTGACACACAGCATTGTACCATAGTGTAATGGGTAGTTTCCTTCTCAGTTAACCTTCAATACTCTGTACACACTATTCTGAAATACTGTGGTGAAGTAAGGCCTCGCATCTTTGAGCAGGACGCTACATAAGGGAGGGTTCGCTGCATTGGAAGGGTCTTCCACATCCCAGATTTCAAGCATACTGCAACCAGGCCTGAGAAAAGATAGACATATATATCCCTATTAGAAATGTATTCCTGTCTAGAAAAAATAGATACATAACACAACATCCAGATTTTCAGAGACAGATTTATTTAATAAGTTAAATATTTTAAAGTGTCATTTCAAAAAACATAATTTCAATGTTTAGAAATTTAAAAAATAGAAATTAAGTACGTTGCATTTTCACATCTCATCTTACCAAATGAAAGACATATCCTAATAATAAACCTTCAATATACATTCATAAATATACATTTAAAAGCTCACTTTCAAGATGAAACAAACAAATATACTCTCCAAGTGCCATCACCATCTAAACATAAGGCCCATTTGTAGTAAAATAAGACAACTTAAAACCTAAT